GTCCCCGCTTTCCCACGTCCAGAGAGCCGGCATAATGTAGCGCCTAGACGATCACCTGTGCATCTGAAGGTCATGAATTGGGGTTCTAATGAAAAGCGGACTTTTTTTCTCTTAAACTCTAACATATCGCTGGCCCACTTTTACGGGAATTTCCTAATCTGTAGCTAAACCGCTGTCCCTTAATGGCGGGAATTTGCGTATTATGAGAAAACAATGCGTCACAAACTAATAATAATCAGATCTCGTGGATTCTCAGATGTCGGCCCTCATGTGTTTGGATTATATTTGTGTTGATTTACGTGAAACAATTCTGAAAATCCACAATGAAACGAACGGCTGATAAATCAAGCATTCCAACAGGAAAGTGAAGTAGGTTTAGGCTTTTCACAGTCCAACAGGTGATCGATACTTTGGTTGATTCAGACTCTGCGGAGTCATAATTTCAGGAAGAATACGTTCACAGTTGAAGTGACACAGTCAGATAGAGCTGGAATGATGGAAAAAATCTTGAAAATTATAAATCTAGAAATAGATCGAAAGTAGGAGTAGGGGGCGTGTCCTTCAAAAGCAACATCTGGTGATCACTTTGTGAAACAAGGTTGATTCTGTCGGGTGGATTCGTACACAAAGGTGGAATATTGGGGCTAGAAAAATGTTAAGCCTATTTTCTACAAAGTCTACAAGTTTCATCTTATTCTAACCACTTGTTTGCATGTAACTAATATTTTTCTATATTATGTTGATTTTTTTTTCGCGTTAATGCCCAGAAGCTCAGGTATAGGGGGCAGTTAGATTCAGGGCCTCAGGTCTGGTAGGGTTAAAAAAAAATGGCCTTGCTAACCAGGTCGATCCCGTCTTGAGTGGATACCAGGTAATGTCCTGGGAAGTAAAGGCGGTCGGCGTGATGTTGTTGACATAACCCAATAAGTGCTAACTAGTCTATCAAATTTAGGTCTAGCCCTTTATGCTCCAACGCTTGAAGCGGCGAAAAGAGTCCTTCTCCAGCCAATAATTCCACCAAAGTGGTTTCTACGAACGTTTCTTCTGCCCGTGTTGATTTCTGCTCTTAGACATTTATTTTTTCGAGTACTTGCTTGTATTTTTGACAGGGTCCTGGTAATTGCCAACTCAATGGGCGCTGGTATCCAGACCAGCATGTGTATCAACTAGACGAAATTGTATGCACCTGTCAAAACCGCCTTTTCGAGTGTAACGTGGTAAGCTTGTTTTGTTTTGATGTTAATTTGTGCGTCTCCAGCTGACCTTGTTAAAATGTTGTACGGCAGAATGCAATGTCCTGTATTCTTTCTCAACAACTCCAAAAGGTCAAATTGTAAGATGAACCTGTATGGCAAAAAATTTCACCCTTAAAAAATGAGGTTCGTTGTGGTATGTTTTCCTAACCTCATTAGCTGGAAAAGGATCTTTGTTTATCTTCCGTCACATTTTTCTTAACGTCATACTCTGCTCTCTTGTAGTTCCAGCTGGCTATCATCTTCCTCTTTCCCAGCTGCTTGACCCCTGATCTCACGATTATGACTGGTTTTTGATCACTTTCTCCAAGCTATTTCATAGCTTCTCTTCCTGCTCGTCGCTAGATGTTTAATGTAGCTAAAGCTATATTTGGTGTTTGGTGTACTTAATGTCCGCCATTGTCTAGAGTAGACGGTTGGCTCAGGTTCAGATTCTATGATTAGTATCAGCAGGTTTTTCTAGCTTGCATTCCTCTATTGCCATCTTGAGCAGCAAGCGCAGTTTCAGTGGTACAAATAGCTGAATTACTTTATATCTGCTTCACATTTTCCTTGAATGTTGTCCCGCCTCCCGATCCCCTGGTCACTCCTTGCATACCATTCTCTTCCATTAAATGCTTTCGTACTCTTCACTCGCCTCCAAAGGTTCTTTACACCATCATGCTGGTTATGCATCGATTCACCATCAAGTTATGCAGAACCAGACAGTCTGTCAGCCTATTCACTTCCTAATACACCAGCATATCCTAGGGAAAATATCCTACCCTAGACCTCTATAGCGATGCTTGGCACTCTTCACGGAGCCTACGGGTCTCCACCTTTCTCATAATGCTCTGTAAGTCGATTAAATTTACGACATGTATGTACAGCTAATTCTCATGCCAGTGAAAGGCTGTAGTTACTTTCTCCACTTTCATTCTCAAACAAGATGTTGTAACGTCATATGCCAGACTCTGTTGCACTAATTGACATCCATTCACTTTTGCGAAGAACCCCCAGGAGCTTCGCCTGCCTCTACACGGAGCTATCTATATAGATTATCACCTCACTTGTGCGAGAATTGTCATGAATCCGTTGTTGAGTTTCTATTTCTGCAGAGCCGCTCGCCAGTCCCTGCATTCACGTCCCAATGTAATCAGAACATTACACAAGTTATTACACTTTTATTTAGATACTAGCAGTAACCGGCCACGCGTTGCGGTGGCATAGTTTGGCTAAATTGAAAAGAAAGAAAATAAAAATGTTGCTTCGTACATTGAGGTAGTTGGAAAATTACCCCCCCCCCCCAAAAAAAAAAAAAAAAAGCAACGAAAACAGGAAAAATACACCATAATTATGAAATGAACGCTATATTAAACTGGACCATGCGCGCGTTGCTACGCCTCTAATAGAAATTCAATTAAAAGGAAAGTCTATATTACAATATGTAGTATCATTGTGCTGTTTACATATCTTTACAAAAAACAAACAGACAATTTAAAATGTAATTGTAATTGTTTACTGAAGTGCTTTCGGGTATATATTGTTCTTAGTTTTTCCGTCTGGTGCGTACACGAATAAATCAGAAGGTTTTCCGACGCGTGAACCTGCCACATATGGCTGTCCATGTGAAAAGCATGGATGTTCCAAATGTAGTCCACACACTTGTTCTGATTGTCCCTGTAATTTGTTGATGGTCATTGCAAAGGCGAGTCGCACCGGAAACTGCAAGCGTCTGAAGTTGAATGGCATGTCTGTTGGAATTGCGTTGCAATAGTATATCCTGGACCTTAAATGTTCATGTAAAATTGTATTTACGATGATATTAGGCACCATCTTTTTCACTGAAAGCCTGGTACCAGTGCAACGATGCGGCGGATTGATGTTTCTGAGAAGAATGACAGGCATGCCAACTTTCAAAGTTAAAAGATTGGGTGGCATGCCTGGCAGATCAAGCGAATTCAAGAAGTCAGTTGGATAATTGGCAACCTCGTCTTGAATCATTACAGTATCGATAGACTTTTACGTTGTCACTCCGCCTGGTAATTTGTCCTGAATGTTCGGATTCATGGCATACACATTGTTAGCTGCTAAGATAGCACGTTCACCCAGCCACTGATAATTTTTTCAGTCTATGTGATATTAGGGAAAACTTTTTGAATCAGTTCGTCTGTGGTAGCTGTAAGTTTACAGAAGTCTGTTGGCAATGTGATACAACGTGTGGATTCATCAGTTGGCATTGTCCCATTCCCAGTATCAAAGAACTGTTTGGCAAAACGTTCAGTGGCTGCATCATGTTGTAGTTGTATACGCATATTGGTCTTCAAAGTCAATATGTTTATGTGTCGCTATACAATTTCTGCAATGAAGAATTATATCACGCGAGTTAACGTCATCGTCAACCATAACAATCGCCACTTCATCAATTGTTGAAGCACTGTACTGTCTGTCGTATTAGCCGACAGGTGTTTTGTCAGCTCTAAGTACAACTCTGTAGTCATCAGCTGGTATTTGGTGAAAAGCAGTTCTGAACAATTTAAATAATTTGTTGTGTTGATCGAATAAAGCTCGTTAACTATTTCTCGTTGTGTCCCCTTATTTTATTGAATCGACAACGTTGATCAACTTGTTGATCAGTGTTTCACATGAAATAAATCTGAAGAAATTTGTAATCTGCGTCTGGCATTTGTAGTAGTGAGCTGGCTTTAGCAGTGCGCACTCGAACATTTTCTAGTCTTGCTTGCCGTTGCTGGTCTAAATGAGACGAACGGGATTCGACAGTGCGCTCTCGAATGGTTTCCAGTCATATCGCATGTTGCTCATCTGTTTCTGAAGCAATTAATGCCCTTCTCTTGCGTGCTCTAGGTGTAGATGGGCCAATCGCTTGTCGTTTGGGAGGCATAACTGCAAATGTTCAACAAAATAGTGAACAGCGTGAGCAGGAGATAACATTCTTTTTCGACTGAAGAGGAAATGCATAGAAACTGTGCAGCAAATATTCTGAAATGCCGGTAAACGATATGAATAGGTAGGTGTCCAGTGCCTAGCTTAAATAAATAAAAATATGAGCATGAGATAAAAAAAAAAAAACTATTTTAACTCAAGAGGAAATGCATAGAAACTGTGCAGCAAATATAGCAAAAGTTAGTAAACAATATGAGTAGGTGTCGAGTGTAGCAGTAAGATTTGTGGTATATGTCTTGCGACTGAAAAAATCGACTAAACTACAGTCTACATGCAGTTGACCTGCGACGAAATTTCATGTAAATGTATATAATTTACTTGAATAATAAGAGAAAGCCAACCGAAATTGTGCAGACATGTAAACAGTATCAGTTCTGTATAATAATAAGAATAATAGTAACATGTAAATTTATATAATTCTTTTGAATAACAGAAGAAAGCCAACCAAAATTGTGTAGACATGTAAACATGTAACAATCATAATAGAACTCTAGACAGTATGAGAAAGCCAACAGAAAATGTGTACACATTTATCATTGCGTGATTTAAGGAAAGATCCACACATGTTTGAAGTTAACCAAAAAAAAAAAAAAAAAAAATGTGTAATGAATAATGGTAGTGAAGTAAATACGCTTACATTTATAGATATTTCTAGATTCCGCAGAAAATTGATGTCCTGGGAATAACTTTGTCGCTGGCGGATGTTAAAAATGGAGCGTCCCATGTCTACTGCGCATGCACTGTGAAAGTCGATCGCGCATGCGCGTTTACTAACGTAGATATAATTAATGTCACTAAAAATGGAAATATTTGTTTCGAAGATTTTCTCAACAAATGTAGTCAACTATCTCTAACAATGACAGGTAGAATTTCGAACCATGACGGGTAAAATTCCTGTATCAAAACAAACATATTCTGAAAATTTCAGCTAAATCGGTTCAGTAGTTTCTGAGTCAATAGCTCATTAACAAACACACAAACATCGATTTTAATATATATATAGATAGAAATCAGATAGCTGTCTAACCACTGCTCGTTGATACAAGCACTCGCTATACTGTGGCTATAGAAATCAACTAGTGTCTACATCTTCAGTACACTTACTAATGTCATTTTTCCTTATACCATCTGGACCTGGTAACTGTTTTTATCGTCTTGGCCTAGCTTTGAACTCATCAACTGTCACAATGTTTTCTACAAGTTTTGGGACTTATACCTGTCTCAGATAACCACCTTTGTCAAGTTGCATACTCTCAAGTCTGCATGCACTGCTGTATGTAATGTTACAATAGAGCCTTGTCCTTAGTTGTGTCAGTCCTTTAGTAGGTGAGGCCAGCGTTCCTAAAGTCTGGAATGCTCCTGTTTTTGACAGACCGTTTATACTTGTATGTAGTGGCTACAACAGTTTCAGTGACTTATCTTTGCTAAATGTTTGACACAACTCTGGCCACCTCTCACCTGTAACCATCTTGACACAACTCTGGCCACCTCTCACCTGTAACCATCTTGACACAACTCTGGTCACCTCTCACCTCTTGGTCACCTCTCACCTGTACCACACACAACTCTGGCCACCTCTCACCTGTAACCATCTTGACACAACTCTGGCCACCTCTCACCTGTAACCATCTTGACACAACTCTGGCCACCTCTCACCTGTAACCATCTTGACACAACTCTGGCCACCTCTCACCTGTAACCATCTTGATACAACTCTGGCCACCTCTCACCTGTAACCATCTTCACACAACTCTGGTCACTTCTTACCTGTAACCATCTTGACACAACCCTGGTCACTTCTTACCTGTAACCATCTTGACACAACTCTGGTCACTTCTTACCTGGAACCAGTTTAACCAGTAATTTTTGAGGCAACTAACTTTAATGGTTTTATCTCTTGTCCGATAAAGGCGACGACCATCACGCTATACGTCCCCGCTTTCCCACGTCGAGAGAGACGGTATTGTGTAGCGCCTAGACGATCACTTGTGTATCCGAAGGTAATGGATTGTAGTTCTATTGAAAACCGGACTTTTTTTCTTTAAAAAAATGGCCTTGCTAACCAAGTCGACTCAATCTGAAGTGGATCCTAGGTTATGACCTGGGAAGTAAAGGCGGTCGGCGTGATGTTGTTCACATTACTCAGTAAGTGCTTACTAGTCTATCAAATTTACGTCTAGGCTTTTATGCTCCAACGCTTGAAGAGTAGAAAAGAGTTCTTTTCAGGCCAATAATTCCACCCAGGAGGTTTCTACTAACGCTTTTTTCTGCCAGTGTTGATTTCTGCTCTTGAACTTTCATGTTATCGAGTATTTGCTTGTATTTTTGACAGGGTCCGGGTAATTGCTACCTCAATGGGCTCTGCTATCCAGACCAGCATGTGTATCGAGTAGGTGAAATTGTATGCACCTGTCAAAACCGCCGTTTCGAGTGTAGAGTGGTAAGCTTGTTTTGATTTGATGTTAATTTGTGCGATTCCAGCTGACCTTGTTAAAATGTTGGAAGGCAGAATGCAATGTCCTGAATTCTTCCTTAACGGCTTCTTAAGCGACCATCTCATTACCTGTAACTTCTGGAGTGAGACCAAACCGGCAAATTGTAAGACGGACCTGTGTAGCCAAATATTTTTCCCTTTGAAAATGAGGCTCGTTTTGGTATGTTTTCCTAGCCTCATTAGGATCTTTGTTTCTCATCCGTCAAATTGTTTTTTGACGTCACAGTCTGCTCTCTTGTAGTTCAAGTTGGCTATCATCTTCCTCTTTCCCGGCTGCTTGATCCCTGCTATCATGATAATGACTGGTTTGTGATCACTTTTTCTCAGGTGTTTCATAGCTTCTCTTTCTGCTCGTCGTTAGATGTTTAATGTAGCTAAAGGTGTTTGGTGTTTGGTGTACTTAAGGTCCGCCATTGTCTAGAGTAGAAGGTTTGATCAGGTTCAGGCAATTTTATGAAAACTACTCTAATTATACCCGCTACCTAACTAAACCTTATGTGAACATCTAGCCACGTAATGAAAGCATACAACATAACATGTAACATCATAAAATTCATGCAGTATAATGAAAACGTGACATGCATACAATAACTAATAGTCAATAATTCTCAAGACATAAAAAAACAACGATGCAACTCCCTCGTTGTATTAGCATAACAACCTCTTATTCACTGGTATCCCTAATGAATGTGCGGAGTTGTCTGAAGTATAAAGGAATAGTATCTGTATTCCCACTTTATAAACTCAAACCTGAAAACTTTGTAGACAAGAAATAACATGCCATGTATCCCCAGTTATCAATAAAGTAAAACTCGAAAATGTCATCTCCCCAAGAAATGATGAAAATAGAATCTCTGAGAAAGTCAACATAGACTGAATAATAAGGTATAACCTTTACAGAGTATAAATAATTCTTATACCGTTAGGTATATTAATTGGAGAGAAATTTCTCGGAAACAATAGTAGCCTTTCCTCAAGTCGAATGTACAGTGCCACCACCTGTATTTACAGGCATTTATCTACTGTGATAGTCCACAGCGTTTATTGTTGCTTCCCTAAGAGGTTGCTTCCTCTGTTTAATGCATATCGCATCTTCTGTAAAGAAATAGCCGGCCTATATTCAGTTACCAATCATGTCATGCTTTGGACTGGCTTATCGCCAAGTACGTTTCTAACTGTGTACCTCAGTAAAGTCTGGTTAAACTCAAATCAGTCATCATTCTGACAGAATGTATAAGAGAGGTTTTGTGGCCAGTAACTCTCTTAGCGAACATAAAATATGTAGGTATTGTAATCTTCACCCACAACTGAACGTGTGGATTTTCACTTGTCCGGGAGAGTACAACACGATTAAAAAACGTTCATAGTGCAAAACCAAATGTAAATATTAAATGGTAAGGACAAAACAACGATATATATTTAATCTTGTCGGACAAATGACATGTAGACACAACAACAGAATATGTGTAGCGAGCGCGGTACCTCTGTTCACAGTAATATAGCGGACGAAAATTGTAATGAATGAAACTAATTACTTGTTATACACCCTACAATCCCACATTTATTGAACCATTTTACGAACGATCCCATTTCAGTCAGTCATGGGGGAAGAAAAGGGGGGGGGGGGGTGGGAGATGTAATTAATGTATGGTTTACACAGGGTATAAATTATGTCTACCCCCTGATGATTCTGTTCGCTATTTGTCAGCCTTTATGCCCATTAGATTGGATATAAAATGAAAGACATTAAAGAATTGGTTATCTTCTACTGGTTCAGTTATAATATCTGTCATTTGTGTCTCGTCAGTCCTACAGCTTCTGTCGATTTCTACCGGTCTAGGTTCAAGATTACCACCTTTGCTTCTACAAACTCTTCCTTCTTCTGTTAGTTTGTCTTTCCCTGCGTCCCTCTGTATCTGTAAAACTATATTCTCTTTTAGATCTGTATGTGAATTAATTTCAGAAATTCTTGTCTCATGTTTCTTTCTTTTGTAAGGCGAAGTTTCTACTGTTTCTTCTTCTTCTCTTCTACGATCACATGTACCGTTAACTGGTACTTCTGACGGTTTTAATTATTTACACTAGACGGAGTATTAGTCCTGGTTCTAACAGCGACTAAAATTCTACGACCCGTTTTGTTAGTGATCCCAATTTCATTATCTGCGTCGTAGTTTTCTGAGAATAAATCTACCTTTATGTTACTAACTACAAACGGTAATGTATTTATTCCTTCACCTGCTTCTTCTGTAGGCATCACCTGTGTATAAGACAAATCCTGCTGATTTATTTCTTTAAGTGTTCTTACCTGTCTACTTCCTTGTGTGCTATTGCTATCTAGCCTTTTTACTTCTACCGCGTTTACTTCCCATAACCATTCCATTGCTAAACAACCCTCTTCATCTTCTTCTTGTTCCGACTTAACTTTAGTCGGTGTTAACTCTTTATGTGTCTCTATGTTCCCTTTTTCTTTAAAATATTGACAGTGTGTCCCGTTTACAGTTACCGCATTTACTTCGTTAATGTAGCTTTTATTAAACCGTTTCATGGGATTCCTCTCTTTTAACCCTCTTACTTCTAATCTGTTTGTCTCATCATCAGCAGCGCACGTGCTTTTATTACCTGTCTGCCATAATCCGTTATAGTTACTGACCTCGCGATTATTTCCTACGTTTTGCAATCTTATATTCTTATTATATCCTAATTTTCTTAACCTATCTCTTTTGAATTTGTTGGCTTGATTATGGGTAGTACCGTAATCTTGATTAGTGCTCATCGTGCTAAATCTGGAATCTGGATTACATGACCTGACTCGACTTCGGTTATTATCATGGATATTTCCTACTCTATTTATGTTCTGATATCTGTTACTATTATTATGCCACTGCTCCTGTGCTCTTATATGTCTGTTAATTTCTAACTTCCGTAACCTGTCTGCTCTATCTAAATTTTTAAAATGCCCTCGTTCATTCCGTATTTGTGACCTCAGTTGACCCTGATTTTTCTCGTACGCTTTTGTGTTGTCTGGTCTGCGATACTGATTGTCTCTAGGGTATTGCAATCTCTCGTTAGCATAATTTCGCCTGTCTGGGAAACCGGACAGTCGATTAACATCGCCGTTACTTCTAGTGACTGTAGCTATGTTATAATTTCTTTCTCTCTGTCTTTGTCTACGACTATCTACTGTTGACCAATGCTGGGCAGTTTTTTGTTCTATAAAAAATGGAATACGGAGTAGTCTACCTAACTGTGCTACTTCATTAAAAACTCTGCTAAACTGTGATCTCACTGTTCCTTGATATGCCATTATTAAAACCTGGAAAATTAACTAATGTAAACTAAAATAGAATTTAAAACAGAAAATGTCTTATTACCTTGTTAAGTGCGGTCTGAAAAAAAAAAAATTCTCGTTTCACAACACACTGTAATTAAAAATCGGCACTGTCCTGGAATTATTTTCTACGTTCAGGAAGAAAGGTAGGAAAAGATAAGAAAAGGTTTTCCCTACACCACTGTAAATTAAAAATCACAATATATTTAAACTAATTAATATTAATGTTCAAGGTTCTTTAAATTCGCGCTTATTTTGCAGTTCCTATTTGAAAAATCGGACAGCTCACAGTTCTTGACTTTCCTATAGTCTTCCGAGTGTGTAAAGTTAGGAAAAGTTTATATTATGGCTCCAGACTAGAACGGGCGCGTCCCCCTGATTCTAGTGTAGACGGTTTGCTCCAGGCTAGAACGGGCGTGTCCCCCTGATTCTAGTGTAGACGGTTGGCTCCAAAAGGTGGTGCAGGCTGTTGGTCTGGTTTACGTCTCTCTATTCTGATGACGGTTTTTCTCGACTTTTCTTACTCAGCAGGCACAATCATAAACTTGCTTTTAGTTCACCTTTTTATAGCAGTTGCTTATTTGTTATGTTGTAACAGCAGTCTTGTTTTTAAAGATGTCGAGTACACAAGACTGATCGTTGGTCACGGCATCCAAATATCCACATACTTGTGGCACAGTCGTGCCTATACATCCCCCAAGAAATAGATGTGCCTAAGTCGGCCAAGTGGAATGAATATAGTTCGTAGCTCTCTTCAATCGTACTCAAGAACAAGGCCAGTGATGTAATCAATTACACAAGAGCTGGTTTATTTACAATATTCTCGTCACACAGACTTCATAAATTCAATAAGCAATAGTATATGAACACTCCTTATTACTGGCTATTCGTATGCCTCTACGAGTTCCTTAACCACTGTTATGGCTAAACTCCAAGTTCAACATATGCCTTCTTAACGAAGTGAAGCACTAGTTTTCTCCTAACCGGTCTTTCCAGCGGTTCAGCCCTAACCTGTCCTATCAAGCTGTCCCGGGGCTAACTCACTGTTCTAGCTAAACTCCAAGTTTAACATATACCTTCTAACGAAGTAAAGCACTAGTTTTCTCCTAACCGGTTTCTCTAGCGGTCTAGCCCTAACTGTCTTCCGGGGCTAACTGTCTTCTCCAGCGGTTCCGGGACTAACTAACTTCTCAAGCCCCTGGCTCTGACTTTATTCCACCGCTTTCCCGCTCCTCCTGGCGTACCATCTTAATCACTTCCCTGTCACCTGTCCTTGGTGGTCACGTTTGGATGAACGTATCTCGTCAGTTGGTCACAGCTCACGGGTACTCGTCGAATGTTTCATCCCTCACTGTCAGATGTCATGGCGGCGTGTTCTGCATAGCTGGCTAGGCCATGGCTTTCTAATCACCCATTCTGTCATTTCACACAGTGATGGATTAGTACGCCGTGTGGTGGTCTGAAATGTATGCTTGTTCATTTAACCCCTTTCTGCCTATATTTCATTACAACATCACGATGTCTACACCGACCTAGAAAGGTGGTAAAAGACAGTAGTGACATTATTTCAGTTGTTTTGGTGGTGGTAGTAGTAGTTGTACTGATACTTGATGCATGCAGTGGTAAAAATTACACTGGCCGCATTGGCTTCTTATAACCATTCCTGTTACCCATTTTATTCTGGCAGAACACAGATGCCAAAGTCAATTACAATTCTTTTTAAAGTGTGCAGAGCAAGCTTTGAGGGACCATGAAGGGATTAAAACCTGACGGTCTGACATGAGCATAAGATATGAAATGGAAAACAAAAGAAGATGCATCAAAAAACATATTTAAAAAAAAAACATTGCCAGAAGGACATTTCAACTTTCGAAACAAAAGTGTGGGATAACTTTATCACATCGCATATTTTATTAAAATATTTCAAGTGCATTCAATAATCTAACTGAAAATATTAATCCATATACTTATTAACTAGAGTCAACAGAAACGGACGTTGAAGTCGGTGACACCAGCTCGAAAAGGACAGATATCACAATAATGTGATTTCAAATTTGAGGCAAGAATAAAGAATACATTATATGGCAAAGTCCACGTGTGGGTTCTGAATCCTAGTTTCTGGCGGAAAACAACTGAGTATAGATAGACCAACTGATCCATTGGGGGCGACGTTGTAGACGTTGGCTAATGAGTCTGTTGAACAGATGTAATGAGTCGAAAGGTGCAGATATCGCAGCCTAGCCTAGACTACGATAGAACTAACCAGCCATGCTTTCATGGGCTAACGAAGAATGAAAAGAAGATATATTTAACGTAAATATTTTTTATTATCATACGTACTGCTTGTAAATGTATAAAATAACGTGGGTTGCGCCGAAAGGTAAAAGCTATGTATTTTAAATTACTGTTTCAGAACAGAATAGCAAGTGATGATTCAAGTGTCTGGGTAACGTATTCACTACAGAAACCATAATTTTTAATTTGAGAAAGTCTTCTACCACATTTTAACGCATTCAGTACTAACCAACCCACCAGGCGTTTGTAAGCTTCAACTGACATCATTTACACTTCTAAAACTTCAATGTCCTATTCAGCTGTTAAATCCACCCACTCAGGGCTAATTCTTCATTTAACTCTTTCGCTTCATTAAAATGTTAAAATAGACAACGCCTCATTATGATTCTCGACAGCTCTACCATAAACAAACTAGAGGAAGCGAAGAAAAAGGAGAAGACATTTTGTGTTTTGGTCAGTTTTTATAAGAATCCAGTAGGTGGAAAACTATGACCACGGAGCAGTCAGGCCAGCCTGCAATCTATTGCGTCATTGCTGTCTCATGTCACTAAATAGATGAATTTTTCACCTTTAGAGTCATAGTTTGGCGCAAAAGTTATTTTTTTAATTATTTTTTATGAAAGAAGAAATCGTTTCAAACAAGCAGAGCAAACCAGTAACTCTTTTGTTCCCTTTGACCATGAAACAATGACACAGTCAGAAAGAGCAAAGGGACCTTATCATAGGTTTATCACGACATCACAATTATCTCTCCCCCACCCCCCCTCCCCTTTTTACCCCACCCCCTTTCACCAACCCTCCCTTTCACCAACCCCCATTAGAAGAAGAATTACTGCCAAATAGTAAATAAACCCACTAAAAAATTGTACAATCACAGCCACGACGTCTACACACTACGGTCAAAAACAGTACCTAACCTGTCATATAGAAATATTGGTCATGCCAAAATACTTCATGTCATTAAAACCCGTAAAAGTAGGAAAACCAGCCATGTCGATAGGAGAGTTTAACTCTGCTGTCGTTTTGTACTATTATTATAGCCCTTCGTATTGAACCATCTATTATGTGAAGTAGTCAGTTCTGAAGATAGCACAAGTACAGTGTATGTGTGTGGCACTGAGAGCAGACATGATTACTGAACCAAGGAAGATGTCTGCTAGCAGCGGTGATTAATGATTAGTAAGGGGTAATCGTCTCAGCACTCCGGATAGATCCATAAGTGCTCTTGTCTCTTCTTTAATAAAGTCCGCTAATTCGTTCGTTTATTTGGTCGTTCCTTGGTTTAAACGCTGACCAAGCGCCCACAACCGATAGCGCCTGCAGTGTGTTAATAATTAATCAAACGTTTTGTCCTTTTTGGTGGAAAGCTCATTTCTGGCAGCTCCATGTTGCACATACGCGCCTAATGCTCTTTGTAAATGTCCCTGTCATTAATTTAAATTCATTTATACAAAATATGCACCTTTATCTCACTTTTAATTGATTTTTACAATTTTTGCATTTCCTATTCACACTTGACAAGATCATATCGGGTTAATTCCATTTTCCAGACGAAAACATGAATCTTGTTTATTTTCGTTAACTACCCGTATATCTTATTCATATCTAGGAACGGTTTCATAGCTATCTCTTGTGAATACAATTTAAAATTACATATTTGTGTAATACTTCATAAGATCACATCAAATATAGTCTACACACAAATTTGAAACCAATCAAAATAAAAAATTTGCTGAATGCACAAGTTTTAAATGAATATAGGAGCTGTTTTATGTCATGTAAATGTATTGCTAACATTTTCATCGTAAACGTGTCAAATAACTTGTTAGGGATCATCAAATGAAACTGCATGTTATACATGTATTCACATTACTGTTTCGGAACACAGAATTTTGGTGAAAGTGCTTGCTAAGGTCAAATATATATCAAGAGGACGTCATTCAAAATGTTTGATAGTTTTTTTTTTTTTTAACATAAACAATTTTATATGCACACACACACACACACACACACACACACACACACACACACACACACACACACACACACACACATATATATATATATATATATATATATATATATATATATATAAAATATATACAATATGAAGTAACTTGTGAAAATACTTACCGTCGAAAGTCAAGGGCTACTTAGGATAAAAGCAAACTTGGTTGAAACCATTAAACAAATGGGATATAAACCTAAGCAATATAACTGAAAACTGAAAGCAAATTGACATGTCCTGTAAAGAAACGGAACACACATTTAAACGCAAGAAAGCTGTGAATCTGCAACCCACCTGATCAAAATTCACACAATAGATATTGGACAACTAGACATCAGGTATGGCCACCGTTTGCAGCGAGGCATTCAAGACAGCGCAGATACACCGAGTCTACTAGAGTCTGAAGAGTATCTTAAGGAACATTTTGCCATTCCTGAAGCAGAAATGTATTCAATTGTGCAACGCCACAGGCAGTAAGTGACTTGTTTACAATCTTTGACCCAGGACTTCCTGGAATTGCTCAGTTGGAGAAAGGTCCAGTGAATGAGCCGGCCACGACATCCTGATGATCCAGTGTTGCCAACTAAAGTCATTCACTAGACGAGTTCGATGGGGTCGAGCATTATCATCTTGGAGGGTGACATTATTAACTGTAGCCTCCAGAGCAGGCTGAACAACTGGCCTCAAGATTTCATTCTGGTCGTTGCCCTGGATGATTGAGAGTGGGGCCCTGGAGCATCTGTAGAAATCTTCCTAGACAATGACCTTACCATAACGATATGCCTCTCGGATTGTCATCAGTAAATCGCTCTCCATGCTGTCTTCTAACTCAAATCCTGATGTCATTTAATGATACAGTAAAGCGAGATTCATAAGGAAGAGAAAGTTCTCACGTCAGTAAGCAACATAGGGTCTGCGTTCAGCAGAAGAAAGAGCGATTATGATTGCACGCCGTCGATTAGCCAGTCCAAATTCATGTAAACGTCTGCGAATGGTGCTTTGACTGATATTAACACTTACAGTTTGTCTCAGCTGACATCTTAGAGTGGAACAAGTCACTGGTCGATGGCGCAGAGCGGACAAAAAGAGATACCGGTCATCATGTCTACTGTGCATCTAAGGAGACCTGATCGGGGCGATCCTTCACACTTCCTTTGGCCAGTAATCTTTCCAAAACTGTGTGATTGTTAGAGTGTCACTGCAAGCCGTCTAGCAACCTAACAGATAGACAAGTCATTTCCCACCCACGGTACAGCCCTTCTTCTTTGTACGGCGTCAAGACTTGGCATGGTTTTGGCAAGTGATGCAACAACCCAAAATCTGGTGACTGTGAAACAAATTAGGTAATAACTCTGTTCAAGAACAATCGCCATTGCACATGGATATCAACCAGCACGATTCCTTTACTTGTTTCGGTGTAGGAAAGTTAAAACAAAAATATACAAAATTTGTATTATAGTGAACAAAACAATTTGCACGTGATCACAATGCTAAACTGTGAGTTGTTTTCAGGTTTCACTTGAATAGAGGACTGTCATTGAAGATATTGCACCCATTTTTACTAAAAACTTTCGTCATTTAATCTTTCTAGGCACATATAAAAGTGTACTGAAAATAAAAAGTTGTACATTGACTTTTGACGGGTAGTAAATGTTCTCCAGTTATACATGACAAGAGGTCTGTATTGTGTCAGCAAGCAAAACTGTAAATTTCACTTGACAATTTCAGACTGGGCGGGTTCCGTGGCTAAGGCGTTGCGAGTCCGACTCATAATTCCAACGTACCGCGATGGAAACCCTCTGCTGGCTGCGTGGGTTTTTATCATGGTATGGGGCGTCGCAGGTCGACCCAGCCTAAAATGGGTACCAGGATGGCTGTCCTGGGAAAGTAAAGACGGCCGGCGTAATGCTGACCACATTACCCATCCAGTACCGATTGGTCTGTAAAAATATGGTACGCTCTTCCCATATACGCGATGCGCCTAAAGGCGTGAAAATGGATCTTTACTTTTTTTAAAACTTTTTATTTCAGTCGGGGACCAATGACGAAGGTCCAGGCTTCAAGGTAAAATAAATATTCCTACTTTCAACATTTACCAGTTATGGAATACAATAAGTAATTGTGTGATTTACTTGTGGGGTCACTGTGTCAGATTCTCATTTGGTACCGCGGAAGATTCAAAATGGATAGCGGTGGCTTGAGTGGATTCTTGGCTTCTTATTCTTCTACTTTTTCTTCTTCTTTTCTCTACTCCTAGAATTCCTCGTGGCGTGAGGGCAGGAAGATATCTCTGGAATAGATCTTTCTGTTTGCTTGGTATCAAGTACTTTCCAGTGTCTCTGATTTTCCTTACGGTCTTTATTCTGCAGGGTGGATCTCTGGCTCTGTTACCGCTGTATCTGTATAACATTGCTCTATGTGGTTCCCTGTCTGATGCCAATCTTGTTACATGACCAAACCATTTCCACGCATCACCACATCTAAATGACAGTGTCCCTTGTGAATATGCTGCCTGGGAGATGCAAGAGTGCGTGTGAATGAACGGCCGGGCTGCTCTGACTACAAATCATCAGGTATGGCCACCGTTTGCAGCGAGGCATTCAAGACAGCGCAGATACACCGAGTCTACTAGAGTCCGAAGAGTATCTTAAGGAACAGTTTGCCATTCCTGAAGCTGAAATGTATTCACCTGTGCCACGCCACAGGCAGGGAGTGACTTGTTTACAATCTTTGACCCAGGACTTCCTGGAATTGCTCAGTTGGAGAAAAGTCCAGTGAATGAGATGGCCACGACATCCTGATGATCCAGTGTTGCCAACTAAAGTCATTCACTAGACGAGTTCGATGGGGTCGAGCATTATCATCTTGCAGGGTGACATTATTAACTGTAGCCTCCAGAGCAGGCTGAACAACTGGCCTCAAGATTTCATTCTGGTCGTTGCCCTGGATGATTGAGAGTGGGGCCCTGGAGCATCTGTAGAAATCTTCCTAGACAATGACCTTACCATAACGATATGCCTCTCGGATTGTCATCAGTAAATCGCTCTCCATGCTGTCTTCTAACTCAAATCCTGATGTCATTTAATGATATAGTAAAGCGAGATTCATAAGGGAAGAGAAAGTTCTCACGTCAGTAAGCAACATAGGGTCTGCGTTCAGCAGAATTAAGATCTATTATGATTGCACGCCGTCGATTAGCCAGTCCAAATTCATGTAAACGTCTGCGAATGGTGCTTTGACTGATATTAACACTTACAGTTTGTCTCAGCTGACATCTTAGAGTGGAACAAGTCACTGGTCGATGGCGCAGAGCGGACAAAAAGAGATACCGGTCATCATGTCTACTGTGCATCTAAGACGACCTGATTGGGGCGTTCCTTCACACTTCCTTTGGCCAGTAATATTTCCCAAATTTTGTGATTGTTAGAGTGTCACTGAAAGCCGTCTAGCAACCTTACAGATAGACAAGCAATTTCCCACCCACGGTACAGCCCTCCTTCTTAGTATGGTGTCAAGTTTTGGCATGGTTTTGGCAAGTGATGCAACAACCCAAAATCTGGTGACTGTAAAACAAATTAAGAATTAACTCTGTTCAAGAACAATCGCCATTACACATGGAATATCAACCAGCACGATTGCTTTACTTGTTTCGGTGTAGGAAAGTTAAAACAAAAATATACAAAATTGGTATTATAGTGAGCAAAACAATTTGCACGTGATCACAATGCTAAACTGTGAGTTGTTTTCAGGTTTCACTTGAATAGAGGACTGTCATTGAAGATATTGCACCCATTTTTACTAAAAACTTTCGTCATTTAATCTTTCTAGGCACATATAAATGTGTACTGACAATAAAAAGTTGTACATTGACTTTTGACGGGTAGTAAATGTTCTCCAGTTATACATGACAAGAGGTCTGTATTGTGTCAGCAAGCAAAACTGTAAATTTCACTTGACTATTTCAGACTGGGCGGGGTCCGTGGCTAAGGCGTTGCGAGTCCGACTCATAATTCCAACGTACCGCGATGGAAACCCTCTGCTGGCTGCGTGGGTTTTTATCATGGTATGGGGCGTCGCAGGTCGACCCAGCCTAAAATGGGTACCAGGATGGCTGTCCTGGGAAAGTAAAGACGGCCGGCGTAATGCTGACCACATTACCCATCCAGTGCCGATTGGTTTGTAAAAATATGGGACGCTCTTCCCATATACCAGATGCGCCTAAAGACGTGAAAAGGGATCTTTACTTTTTTTTCAAAATTTTTTATTTCAGTCGGGGACCATTGACGAAGGTCCAGGCTTCAAGGTAAAATAAATATTCCTACTTTCAACATTTACCAGTTATTGAATACAATGAGTTATTGTGTGAGTTGCCTGTGGAGTCACTATGTCAGATTCTAAGTCGGTACTGCGGAAGATTTCAAATGGATAGCGGTAGCTTGAGTGGATTCTTGGCTTCTTATTCTTCTACTTTTTCTTCTACTTTTCTCTACTCCTAGAATTCCTCGTGGCGTGAGGGCAGGAAGATATCTCTGGAATAGATCTTTCTGTTCGCTTGGTATCAAGTACTTTCCAGTGTCTCTGATTTTCCTTACGGTCTTTATTCCGCAGGGTGGATCTCTGGCTCTGTTACCGCTGTATCTGTATAACATTGCTCTATGTGGTTCCATGTCTGATGCCAATCTTGTTACATGACCAAACCATTTCCGCGCATCACCACATCTAAATGACAGGGTCCCTTGTGGATATGCTGTCTGAGAGATGCAAGAGTGCGTGTGAATGAACGGCCGGGCTGTTCTGACTACAAATCATCATCATCATTTCAGTAAGAGTAGGCTGTCATTTTTTGCCATCTCTAACGATCACCAGAATTTTGTCTCGCCCTATCCATCTGGCTAGGCCATCCAGATATTTATCGCTTTGCCTTCGTTTTGTTCTCTTTCCATCAATCAAGTTACCAAGTTCTCCAACCCATTCCTTCACATAACATGTCTAAACAAATATGAACTGTCTGCGTCGAACGCGCTAAGTTTACGACTTTCGTCTGTTTCGATGAAGACTGCTTCGTTTTCCTATTCTTCTATGGTATTTTTCGTGTTCTTCTCAGAAACAGCATCTCTACCACGAGTAAATGTTTTCCGTTTGTTAGTTTATTGTCCGTGTTTCACATGTATAAAACACCACAGGTTATAAATGACACTTCATACCACTGTTTTTGTCACTGTAGTTGGCTTCAAAAGACAGGACATAATTTATACAATGAATCATAGATGGTCGGTGGATTCTGAATAACTATGTGAAAAGCAGCAACACAAGCAGGCATTCTCCCTGGCATAGTGGTAAACCGTGGACCTAACGTTGTGAATGTCGTGGATTCGTTTATGGTGGCTTTGTTCGGTTAATGCCATTTTGACGGAGATTCCCGCGGATGGTCGCCGGAGATAACGCAGTTCCTTCTTGCTGTGGCGAGCTCGTAGGCGGTTAACCCGTTTGCAGGGAGATATCCAGCCATATGGGATCAAATACAGTGCAATAAAATCGATCCTCTCCCCTTTAAGTTTTAGCTTAAGATAAAAATTGTAATTAAGACATTCATTTATATATACATATATGTTTCAGTTTGATGATTCAAATGCAGACGAGCCGGAACCTCATGCATCGGTTGACATTGCCTTCCCTTGACACCCAGTTATCTGTCCTTGCCGCCGTCTGTTTGGGTGACTTTAGTTCTCTCCCTTGTCAAACAAGCCACAGTTACTTAAGAAAACAAAAATAAAATAAAGTTACAATCAGAAAACTATAAAAATAGTCTGAATTTAGTTATTTAAAACTTTCTGACAATTTTGAATTAAATGCTCATAAAAATATAATGACATTTTATTGTCTTTTTTATATCACGTATGTTTAGATGGTGCGAAATTGTAAATTCTACACTAATCATCATAATGATGTAGAAGGATCTTTGCAAACCGTCGCTCTGATTAGGACACACTGATAGATCTATCTGTCCCACCTGATGAACTGCCAAACGTTCAGGGTGGTATTAATGTCTCGTCCACCGACGTGCTGTTCGTTTCCTGTCCCTTCTTACAGTAGCCATATCCTCCACGAACTGTTCTATATAAACCTCTATTGCGTTTCAATGAGCCTAAATGTTACCACGTATGACCCACTCTCCACCCCTCCCCCTTCCTTTCCTAAATTGTAGATTCTGAAGAATGACAGCATTTAGCCACTTTTTGTGTAATTATTTTTTGGGCGATACATAGTGTGGTGGTTTTCCCTTGCTCTCCACACCCAGCTGGTGTAGTCTACTCACTAGACCTGCAAAAGTGTACATGCGGATCTCTCACAGAATGTTGCAGAACTAACGTCAGCATTTTCTTGGCTGTTTGTGATCTTACTAGACAACCTAGCATTTAGTAGTTTGCCATTGCTTACCAAACAGTGTGTTCTCGTTTCCACTGCCACACAAAATTGATAGATATGTCAAATGACGAAAAAGTCAACGAGATCTGTCAAATGGCGAAAATGTCAACTATTGGAATGAATATGTTGCCACACAAAATTGATAGATCTGTCAAATGGCGAAAAAGTCAACGAGATCTGTCAAATGGCGAAAATGTCAACTATTGGAATGAATATGTTGCCACACAAAATTGATGGATTAACCAAAATGTCCCCTTCGGGTGGTTACCTACAGGTTTACAATAATCTAAGAAAAAAAAAAAAAAAAAAGCTGCATGTTCTGAGGATATTCATTTTCTGTTTGCTGTTGCACAATTGACTCTTTACACTATTTGACGTCTGCATTGCTAAAGTAAGTCGCTTTCTAATTTTTAGTCATCATGGCTGCGTGTTGTCATCTACATAACTGTTAGGTTGACTACAAGAGTGATTCTTCAATGGCATAGTCGCCATCCTACTGCCCATGCTATCAGCATCGTGTAAAACTGATCAACCACTCCCTGATGCACCCAGCCAGTCTTACTTTATCTTGTAAACCATGATCTTCGCCAGCCAATGAGACTACATGTATGTGTATATAATTACCAAATAGGCAATGTGTGGACTGACACTTATAGAAAGAAGTTTCTGAAAGACAGGATACACTAGACAACACTGAAATCAAAAGCTGTAGTTACTGTTCCGAAAGTCGAAAGTGTTATCTCCAAATGGCGTGTGCGCCTTGCTGTGGAAACAAGCGTACTAAGAAAACAACCAACTAGGCACACCCCTACCCCCACCCTCCCTCCCAGCCCCCAAAAGGAGTCTTTGGTGGCATGTTTATCGTACAGCTCGAAATCCATAACTATGGAGTAAGTAAAGTAAAGTAAAGATCCCTTATTACGCCTAAGGCGCATCGGGCACATGGACAGACCGTCCCATATTTTTACAGACTAATCGGCACTCGGTGGGTAATGTGGTCAGCATTACGCCGGCCATCTGTACTTTCCCAGGACAGCCATCCTGGTACCTATTTGAGGCTAGGTCGACCTGCGACGTCCCATACCACGATAAGAATCCACGCATAACTATGGAGTACGAACAGAATTCATCTAATCATCAGCAATCAACAAGTCCTATACAGAACGTTGCTATTTTCACGGCACGCCTGAAAGTATAAATATCCCTAGCATCTTCAAAGTCCTGTATCCATTGCGGAGGTCGACCCTAGCCTCGATTCCCACAAACTGCACCTTCCACCACCGTCTTTGCGAAGCCACCATGACGTTTGATGTGACCAAATACTTCAACTTTCGAGACAGAATGCTGTTTATGAGCCAATTCTACTAGTGTAGAATGTGGATGTTTTCCCTCTTCTTGATCTTTGGTATTCTGCTAATTTTTCTGTAACATTTTATTTCAACATCTCCAATTTTTTAAATCAGTGATTGGGTGAGAGTCCAGGACTCGAAACCGTAAGTTGCCACATGAAAAATGAATGATCTCAAGATTTTTACTGTAACTAGTTTACAGGTGCTTTGCCATTGATTCTTTGTGCTGTCAAATCTCAGCATTGCTAAAGCAAATCTTCTTCTGAATTCTTTCGGGGAGTCTATACTGTTGTTCACCAAAGAGCCCAAGCTTTTCTATTTCTTCATTTTCGATTGTGATATGTGGTTGGTGTGCCTTTTTAATTATGAACAACTTGAAAAAAAAATTCTCTTATTTGCTGTGATTTTTTTTTTTTTTTTTGGCGGCCCCAAAAAATATTACTAAACTTTGTACACTATGGAAAGGAGAACTGTGTCATCTGCATATATGAGTTTAGGGATAGGATTACCTCCAATTTTTAGTGGATCATAGCTCTCACATGTCCCATCGCTAATTGCGTTTCTCATACAATTTTCAGCCTTTATGTTACAATGTGACGGAGGAAGAGTACAGCCCTGTCTCACTCCTCTCTGCACTTAAAACCACTTTGATGTTTCACCAGCTACTCTGATGGCTGCTTGTTGTTCACGGTAAAGAGATTCCAGCAAGTGCACCAAATGTTTTGGAAATCCCATGCTTTGCATTGTATGCTACATTTAGCACTCGCACACATTACGATGTGTCTAAAGATGACTTCGCTCCACTCCCCTCAAGATCGACACAACGTGAGCTCTTACAAAGGAAACAACACCAACAAAATACAGCTGTATTTAATGTTTACTGACTAATGCGCACATATGACATAATAATAAAGACGCGCAATGTAAAATCAACAGTTCAAATCATTTGACCCAACTATAAGGCAAATTATCAAGATTGAGGTTTGTTGTGCAAGCCAAACTACATGTCGTAAAACAACCAATTTTTTTGTTTTAGTAATCTAAACCCTCGGATACATAAAACAATCCCAGAAATTCGGTCAAGCAAGTTGGCGCTCAGCCATCACTGTGGACACTCGTAGACAGGTCACTCTGGCAATTAATAAGACATCTGGCCACACACAGATCGCGTCTAATGATGGCTGACCAGTCTAAAATGTTACTGCCAGTTAAGCACTACACCTGATTTGAGAACACTGAAACACCAGGGCAGCTTAACGACAGGACGTCAGTAAATCGGTTCGCTGCTCAGCTTGACAAAACACAGCACAGAGCGACTCATCATGCCGGTGTAACAAGTAATGAGCGAGTGGACCGATTGGCCGGCAGTGCACCAATAAATGCTTGTAGGAGGAACGGACATGACCCATATCATCAACGCTGTACGGACAGGGCAAGTGGACAATGATAAACCTCTCCAACTCATATGATTGCGTGACTTCGGAGTAAAAAATGCTGAAGCGCGTCTATGCCGCCTTCGAGGCTGAGATAGGAGACATCATAACCAACTCATCATAGGAGCAATTAACATGGGTACCATATAGTGGCTGCTGCATCGAAGGATAGAGCACGTATGGGAATATCAAATGTGCAGTGACGTCGATTGTGATAACATAAGAGAGACCTATATTAACACATCACACAGACTGCTACTGGCATCACTGGTACCGGAACTTTGCATTGGCTGCTGAAGTTAAGGACGGCGCAATAATGAGAATGTCCTGTGTTCTTAGATGACTGTTCTTGATTCGGTTCAACTTAGCTCTAGACCTACATACAAAAGATAGGTCTACAAAATCAGTGATCGTATATCTACAGACGACACATAACACAGAAGCAGGGACGAACTTGAGAAGATATGAAAGTGTCAGAAACACGGACGAGAAGTCAGGCTAATGGAAGTGCTATCAGGTGCAAGCATGTTCTGTAGCTAGTTGGGTTTACTTTTTTAGGATGTTGCACAACGAGTCCCTGCGCCCTTTTACTTTTTTGATTGGTCATGATTAAGTTTAACGTTCGGTAGTTTGCCATTGGGTCCTAAGAAAGGGAACAAGAAGCACTAGCAGCGACAGCAGCAGCAGCAGTAGTAGCAGCATGAGAGGAAGCCGAAATGGAGTGACCGGGGCGTAACAGAGCCCTCAGAGATACTGACGGGCTTGTAACACGTTACACCTTTAGCCCACGTCTGCAAGATGACAACAGACAAAGACATACTGTTAAACTGGATTGGCCACATTTACTTTAGCGAAGAAGGACACGTAATCCAATAGTGACAGTCGCTGACATCGCCAACGTATCAACTCTATTTTCATTCCTCTGCAAGATCTGTACAGTCTGTTTGGCGAAGCAAGAAAACTCGACACCCAGACAAGTACAATACAGGTTTGTTTCAATTTAGAAAATTTGAAATGTTTTTTTTTTAGCTAACCAGTTTAAAGGAGATAAGGTTAGAGCTGAGGTTCCAGGTCTTACGATAGATGACAGAAACGTAAAAAGAGAGAGCAAACTTAAGTATTTGGGAATATCATTTGACAGGACCATGTCCGTTAAGGACCTGGTGGAGATGGTTGTGACAAAATGCCAAAAAGGACGCATACAGAATACAGCTATGCCGGTCATTCTGGGTTGCACAAGAAACACTCCAGTGGTGTGTATGATGTACAACCTTGGTTTGCTGACTGTTGTAGGTAGGCTGGAGGGGCTGCAGTCGAAGTCATTTCTCAAGGTAGCTGCAGACACAGACCACCCTTTGCACGAAGCTCTGGGTGCAGTTAAGGGTCAGCGGCTGATAAGAGGGAAGTCATGGATGGCTCAAGCAGAAGACACAATCAGACAGGTTTGCATTCTTGAGAACATTAGGCGAGG